TTCGTCCTCAGGATTGGTTTGCAGCCATAGACCTGAAGGACGCGTATTTTCATGTCTCCATTCTTCCACGCCACCGTCAGTTTCTGCGATTTGCGTTCGAAGGTCGAGCATGGCAGTACAAGGTCCTCCCCTTCGGGCTCTCTCTCTCCCACTCGCGGTGGGTGCCCTAGCGCCCTGCGGCTCGCGGGCATCCGCGTACTCAATTATCTCGACGACTGGCTGATTTTAGCCCGCTCTCGGGAGTAATTGACTGCGCACAGAGACGAGGTGCTCCGGCATCTTCGCGGATTGGGGTTGCAGGTCAACTGGGAAAAGAGCAAACTCGCCCCGGTGCAGAGGATCTCTTTTCTCGGAATGGAGCTGGACTCGGTCACCATGGTAGCGCGCCTCTCTGGAGAGCGCGCTCGCCTGCTGCTGAACTTTCTGAGGGAGCTCGACAGCAAATTAGTGGTCCCACTGAAATATTTCCAGAGGCTCCTGGGGCATATGGCTTCCGCTGCGGCTGTCACGCCGCTCGGATTGCTCCATATGAGACCACTTCAGCACTGGCTTCAAGATCGAGTTCCAAGACGCGCATGGCATGCGGGCACACACCGAGTCTCTGTTACTGCACTGTGTTGCTGCACCCTCAGCCCCTGGAACGAGCCCTCGTTCCTGCAGGCCGGTGTGCCTCTGGGACAGGCGTTCAGTCATATTGTTGTCTCAACAGATGCTTCCAGCACAGGCTGGGGAGCCGTGTGTCGCGGGCATGCAGCTGCGGGCCTGTGGGTAGGTGCCCAGCTGCGTTGGCATATCAATCGCCTAGAGCTGTTGGCAGTGTTCCTTGCTCTCCGCCGTTTTTCTCCGGTGCTGGAGCAGCAACACGTGCTGGTCAGGACGGACAGTACGCCGGCAGCAGCGTATATCAACCGTTTTGGGGGGTATGCGCTCTCGCCGCATGTCTCAGCTCGCCCGCCGTCTGCTCCTCTGGAGTCACCCGCGGCTGTAGTCGCTGCGCGCCATTCACTTCCCAGGTATGCTCGACCGTGCAGCTGATGTGCTCTCACGACAGCAGATTCACTGTGGAGAATGGAGACTCCACCCCGAGTCTGTCCAGCTGATATGGGCGTGGTTCGGGGAGACCCAGATCGATCTGTTGCTCCCCCGAGTACGCTCATTGCCAGTTGTTTTATTTCCTGACCGAGGGCTCTCTCGGCACAGACGCACTGGCCCACAGCTGGCCTCGGGGCATACGCAAGTATGCGTTTCCCCCAGTGAGCCTGATCGCGCAGTTACTGTGCAAGGTCAGGGAGGACGAGGAGCAGGTTCTGCTAGTTGCACCCCTCTGGCCCAACCGGACCTGGATATCAGAGCTCTCCCTCCTCGTGACAGCCCTCCCATGGCAGATCCCTTTGAGAGAGGACCTACTTTCTCAGGGACAAGGCACCCTCTTGGGATCTCGCCCTCGTTTTCACGAGCCTGCGATTTGATCCCTTCGAGCCACTCGATACAGTATCTTTAAGATTTCTGTCCCTGAAGACAGCTCTGCTGGTCGCGTTGGCCTCCATTAAGAGGGTCGGGGACCTGGAGGCATTTTCGGTCAGTTACTCGTGCCTGGAATTCGGGCCGGGATTTCTTACGTTATCCTGAGACCCCGCCCGGGTTATGTGCCCAAAGTTCCTACCACTCCCTTTAGAGATCAGGTAGTAACCCTGCAAGCGCTGCCCCCGGAGGAGGCAGACCCAGCCCTGTCCTTACTTTGTCCAGTTCGCGCCCTGCGCATTTATGTGGACCGTACTCAGAACTTAGATCTTCTGAGCAGCTCTTTGTCTGTTATGGCGGACGGCTGCAGGGAAGTGCCGTGTCTAAACAACGTTTATCCCACTGGATTGTGGAGGCCATTTCATGTGCTTATTTGAGCAGAGGTCAGCCGCGACCCCCGGGAGTGCGTGCGCACTCTGCTCGGAGCATTGCATCCTCTTGGGCGTGTGCGCGCGGGGCTTCTTTAACAGACATTTGTAGAGCTGCGGGCTGGGCGACACCCAACACATTTGCAAGGTTTTAAAATCTGCGAGTGGAGCCGGTTTCCTCAAGGATGTTAGGGACCTTTGGTGATTGAGGAAACAACTCGGTAGGTGTTGTAACACGCTTGGATTCCTTTTTTCCCTAACACGGAGAGATGTGCATCCTCCTGTCTGTCAGTAAAGTTCCCCATTCGGTGAGCCCTGCAGATTCCTCCGAGGCCCCCAGCACTGACTCAGCGGAGGAGTCACTTGCTGGCCTATTACGTTGTAGGTCTGCCCGCTGGTAAGCCCGCGTTTTGGGTATAGGTGCCTGCTATGGCCGATCCCTGCTGGTGATCCCCATATGCTTTTCCGCCACGGTTAAGTTCCCCCCCCCTGGGTGGACCCATGCTTTCCCTATCCGCTAACCACCTTCTTATGCGCACTTCCCCTTCTCAGGGTTAATCCATATGTAATTCCATTTGTTTCCCCCATTGGGTGCGGATGGTCTCCACAGCGTCCTCCCTACTGGGATGGCACGCTTCCCAACGTACTGTCTTATATTCCTAGAATCATCTAGACGCTAGCGACTCCCAAAAAAATATAACTATTCCGTAAAGCTTCTTTTGAAGTGGGATAAGTTAGGGCCAAGGGCACGTTGGAGGACCACGCCTCTCATGATCTGGGTGCGTCACGCTTGCCTGATTGCCCTCTCATGTTGGGTGTTGGTAAGGTGCGGTCATTTTGGCGCTTTCAATGGGCTCCCATACGTGGATTAGTACATCAATCCACTTTTATTGCTGGAGTTCCCCCCGAAGGGGAACGTTCGAGGTTACTAAAGTAACCCTTCGTTCCCCGAGGAGGGGAACGGAAGCACTTTACTCCGTCGCCATAATGACTGTCCCTTAGCTGTTAAAAGTCTCTTCAGCTTAAAAAGGATAGCGTCTGCTGGCGCCAGGTGTGCTTATATGCTCAGTTAATTGGCTATGCAGCACACCTGCGCAGGCTTGCGCTGCCAATTCATTCTTAATTGGCCCGTTCAATACTCTTTCAGACGAGCGGCTTCTGAACCGAATCCTCCCATACGTGGATTAGTACATCAATCCACTTATGGTGCTTCCGTTCCCCAAGGGTTACTTTAGTAACCTTGAACGTTCTTAGACCTACAAGAATATAGCCACACAATATATTTGTACTCACTTTTGTGTGTGCATGTTTAGTAAATGAGACTTCATTTGATGCTTTCAGGTGTGCTTTATCAGTGTATACACACACACACACACACACACACACACACACACACACACACACACACACACACACGAGCAATATCACACGAGTAGCACTGTGATATGGCTGTATATCAGCACTTGTGGGAGACGCGTGTTAGCACAGAGCCGCAGGCCAAGTACCTTAGTATCCCACCAGTGCTGATATACAGCCATATCACACTGTTACGAGTGTGATATTGAGTTTATACAACAGTTTGATGGCATAATCGTGTATATAAAAATGAATAACGAGATTTGCACGAATAGCATGATTTATCCGCACATTCCGCGACTGGTGTGAACACAGCATTAGAATATCACTTACCAGCAGGGGCGTAGCACCAAATTCTGGGCCCTGTACCCTCTTAATGTCAGTGGGCCCCCAACACATTTTTTTTATTATTATTTGAATATAAACATGCACAAATAGTGTTTTAATCTATAATCAAATCAGATTATAATAATGACTGGTTCTTTCATTCACCACCAAATTGATGCATTTGGCCTACTTGTGCTCAAATACCTTTAAACCGTAGGCTACGTTGGGTTTGTGTACTGACATTTTGATCCATGATACTGATGCAAGTTTTGATTTAAAAACATTTATTTTTGAACAGGAGAACACGAGACAACTGTACCCTCAGAAACAAATCAAATAAGCTAAGCCTGCCATAAAACAAATCGTCAACTATCAAAAAATAAATAAAAGTCAAATGAGATGTAATCTACATCCCAGTAAATCCCCACTGACGAGTCTTTTGACGTCTGCATTCACATCTGCAAGACATCTACAAGACGTTTCCTATCAGATGTGAAATAGACTTCTATTAGACATGTTTAAGATGTTTGCGATTCAGAATGTGTGTTAAACTGACATCATACAGACGTCTGCCAGACGTTTGTATACAGCTGGTGCTTTCCAATATATTGATGCTTATCAATATATTTTGAAATAAATAATGACATTGACATCAATTGGAGGGGCCAACTAATTCGAAGAAGGCTACAAAAAAAAAATAATAATAAAAAATTGGTGGGATTTCAAAGGGCCCTCTCCCTAGACGGGGCCCTGGGTAGTCAGGTCCACTTTTCCCCCCACTACAACACCCATGCTTACCAGTTTAATAATGATTTGATCGGCTGTAATTAGAAATTACGCTGTTTTAATCTTCTATGGGCTTATTATGTGGTCCTGTCGCCATTTTGTGGATAGACACAAATATATATATATATATATATATATATATATATATATATATATATATATATATATATATTCATTCATTTATGACGTTTTTTGACTTAGTCCCTTTATTAATTTATTATTATTAATTTATATATTTGTATATTATTAAAGTTATATAGTTATAGTATTATATATTATTATATAAAGCTATATTATTTTTTATTATTATTATAATTATTATTATATTATCTAGTGCTGAGCAAAGATTACGCCTGTTGCGCCAACCTATTATAATTACTATTATTATTAATATCGAAAAAAAAACATATTGCAGTACTTAACTGGCGAGGAAATAGTAAAATGCTTACACATCCTAAAGAGTAGGCAAAATGTATGCTACATTGAATTGTCCTTCAAGTTACTTTGTTCTGTTACATTGAGCTTTTTATTTGACCAAAATAAAAACACGAAAATATTGAAATTACGTACATATTGAGTACATATAAATTAAATGTTCATTTATTTATTATTATCATTTTTGTGCAAGTGGATCTTACCCCATCAGTGAATCTGCGATCGCCTACCCCTCGAACCTCCGCTCTGGCAGTGATTGTTTTCGCCTGCTCGTCTTGTTTTCATGAAATGAACGGACGTAAGAGCAGCTAGCTTGCCCACTGCACGGCTCTGTCAGAAAAGGTGAGACGCGCTTCATTTTCATTTGCATGTCATTTTCCTTTTTGAAATCGCGCATCACGGAGTAGCTAAGGGCGAGTGGTGTCAAAGGTGCGGATCACGACTGATGTTTTCACAGGCCTGATGCTAATGCGCGAACCAGCTGCGTCTCTAATGACATCATCAGGCTTTAGCGTTAACAAATGTTACACACGGGCGAATAAACATATATTACAGATAATACTTCGCCTTGTACTGTTTACTAATGAACCTTGCTGTTATTTAGCGATGTAGCACACCCCGTGACAATGTCTAAAATCGAACACATACACGAACCATTAAACTAAACCAAAAAAAAGAGAGAGATAAGCATCAGAGATGACAAAACATTATACATCTCAAATTTCGTAAAGCCGTGTGGTCTCGTACATGTATACAGCGGTTTGCCGTGGACATCTGGAGTTGTCACAGCTGTAGGGTTATGATGGGCCGTGTTTTTACACGTTTGAAGCCTTAAAGCAAATCTTGAGTATTGAAAGCAGGCTGTTATGGCAAGAAATCACGTCTTCTGCATGCAGTGTTTGCCACTCCCCTTTATAAGCTGGGAACAGTCGGTGATCTCATAAACATCTGTTGATTTGAGGAAATCATTTGACCCTGCTGATGCTTTCAGCACAGATCACATGCAGTCACCGCCATCACTTGCTAGTTAATATTCCCCTCTTTCTCTCTCGATCTCTTGAAGATTGAGGTTTGGTGTTCGTGTACTCTTTTAGTGTGTGGTGAATTCTTAGAAATAGTGTTTACCTTCGCAGTCCCTACCCACACACAGTCATGCCGAAATGCATCAAAGTCTGACCTATTTCAGCATTTAGGTGTGAGAGCTTCTTCAGTAAGAAACAATAGTTGCAGGACTCAGTATTTAATATACATTTTTATAAAACCTTTTTTTTTTTTTTTTTTTTTTTTTTTTTTTTGCAACAGCAGCAGCAGAAGGTTCTGCAAACTATTACTACACGCACCTCTTAAGATAAAGGAATAATTCAGCTAAAGCGAAAACCAAAAAATCTAAATTTGAATCACAGGCATCAAACCCTTCTGGTTATCGTGTGGGCGAAGAAAAAGAAAAAGAGGTCTTTAAAATTCAATTCATCTTTATTTCTACAGCACTTTAACCATGTAGATTGTATGGAAGCTCATTTCCGCCACTGAATAAAATAAAGAAATACAATGTAAAAAAGTTATCAGAAATACTCAGAAATCTGAGTTGTCACAATTTTGAGTCTTAAAGTCACAATTCTGAGTTATGAAGTCACAATAGTAAGTAATTAAGTCAGAAGTATTAAGTACAAATAACTCAGAATTAGTTTTTAATAATAAGTATTTGTAACTCAGAATTCTGACTTTAAAACTCGGAATTCTGACTTAATAACATGCAGTTCTGAGTTTATTACCCAGAAATCTGACTTTATAACTCAGAATTCAGACTATATAACCCAAAATTCTGACTTTATAACCCAGAATTCTGACTTTATAACTCAGAATTCTGACTATATAACCCGGAATTCTGACTCTATAACTCAGAATTCTGACTTTATAATTTTTTTACATTGTATTTATTTAGGGCGACACAGTGGCACAGTAGGTAGTGTTGTCACCTCACAGCAAGAGGGTCGCTGGATCGCTGGTTCGAGCCTCGGCTCAGTTGGCGTTTCTGTGTGAAGTTTGCATGTTTTCCCTGCCTTCGCATGGGTTTCCTCAGGGTGCTCCGGTTTTCCCCACAGTCCAAAGAAATGCGGTACAGGTGAATTGGGTAGGCTAAATTGTCCGAAGTGTATGAATGTGTGTTTGAATGAGTGTGTGGATGTTTCCCAGAGATGGGTTGCGCCTGGAAGGGCATCCGCTGTGTAAAAACGTGCTGGGTAAGTTGGCGGTTCATTCCGCTGTACGACCCCGGATTAATAAAGGGACTAAGCCGAAAAGAAAATGAATGAATGAATGTATTTATTTATTATAATTTTTTTATTCAGTGGAGGGAACAGGCTTCCATAAGATTGTGTCAAAGCAGCTTAACATAGAAGATTATAGTAAATTGAAACTTTGTCAGTCCAGTTTTCAGAGTTGAAGTTCAGTTTAGTTTGGTTCAGTGTGGTTTAATCCTCACTGCTAAAAGTCCAAACACTGAAGTCTCAAACCAAGCAAGCCAGTGGCGACAACAGCGAGGAACAAAGTTCACCAATTGATGAAATTAAAGGAAAAAACGGAGCTTGAGCATTTATTCCATTAGTGATTACTTTTTTGCATTTATCAATGAGTTTATTGAAAATTACAAAATAAATGTAGGTCCCACTTTATATTAAGTAGCTTTGATTACTCTTTACTTAGGTTCAAATTAATAGTTTGCTACAATGCACTTATTATTTACATGCATGTTTTTACATCATGTGTTTGAAAATGTATATCTGCACGTTAGTTATGCTCATAATAACCGATTAACAGTTAACCGAGAGGGTGCATTTTTTTACTGATTAATAGTATCAGTTAAATGATAAACAAAATATTGTTGTATATATTTTTAAAATTTGGCTGCATAAGGGGCCGATCACAGCGAACATGCTTTTTGCGTTCAGAGTGGGGTTGTGTGATTAATCGAAATTCAATCGCGATTGACATTTGAAATCTTTTGTTTAATCGCAAGAGGCTGCAATATGAAATTTATAAGTAATAATTTCCCTCGCTCAGAGCAAATGCGTGTCTGACAGTCTTGCTAGCCAGTTCAGTGAGCACACTTTTGTTTTGCCCAATTAAAATTGCGCAACCGAACTACGCTTGTAATAAAAAAAAGGAAAGTAAACATGAATGCGCTGACAAGTGGGATTATGGTGTCTACTGCTTTAGAAGCATAATAGACAAATTCATATCAAAGAAAAACAGCATTAGTAATATGGCAATATTTTGGTTTCAGTCACAGACCGAAAAAAAGCAGGTAGTTTTTAAGAGCTGTCACAGAATTGTTGCCATGACTTACAGATTAGTGAGGTAAAGCTTGAGTACAAAATTAAATGGTAAATCAAGTCGCAATAACAATATCTGTCAAAAATTAAATGCGATTAGTAAGGGTGTCACGATCCTCCAAATCCTCAATTTGATTACATTTTCGATTCTAAAGGCACGATTCGATTTGATTTTCGATTATGAATAATTAATTAATCAATAACCAATTAATTATTTGTAGCCTACCGTTTAAACTACCTGACCTGCATGGTCTTTGTTTTACCCATAAACAAATCATACAGTAAATGAATAAAGGCAAGATACACACATAATTACCACCTGTCAATCACTTTTTCTGCGGTACTCGTGAATAGGCAGTGATCTGTGTCGTTATAATGGCGTCGGTAAAAAAGACGCACAACCAACAGGAACCAGCCAACAGTATCTGAGGTGTGCGCTAAAGTGACTAAGTACAAGTGAGTGAAAGATTGAAGCAGTCCTCTGACTGCCTGGACCTGCTGTCTCGAGCGCATGGCTGTGAGTGCGTCTGTATCTGTGTGGTCACGTGATGTGCATTTTCAGAGGTAGAGAGGAAGGAGGGCTGCTCAGAAATGCTACACGCCACTGTGGATGTCAAATCGTTGTCATTCTAAAATGCCATTTAAAAACAAAGACCTGAGTATGTACTTTTCGCGAGCGCATTTGCAACGGGGGCGGGCGGAGGATCGCGATGCCGGTGTTGTCTATCGGACGAACCGTACGTAATACGTACATAGCAGAGCTTGCAAAACAGTTTTTTTTGTCGACAACACGAACGTTGTCAACATAACTCACTGGAAATCCAAAATGCTTACACACCGGCGACTTCATTGAAAGAGGAGTGGGTTTAAGTTCTGTCGACGGGTCTCCTGCTTCTGCAGTTTAACAAGCACTTCAACAAGCCTGTTTATTTCCCGCCTGGCAAGCCAAGCTGATGTGACATGGGGGCGTGGCAGCATCGACGATTTTATTTTTTGATTCGATAATCGAAATTGAGCATAAATTTTTCGACACCCCTAGTGATTAGATATTTTCCCCAAATTGCACAGCCCTAGTTGAGAGGGGCATCTTTTGAATGGTTTACCAACGTTGCAAGTGTTTTTGCAACGCCCTGCACACCTCACGTTTTTTGCCGTTGCTCACTTTGTGCTCGCAGTTGGAAAAAAAGTCAACTCTGAGTGGAAAAAGTGTCAGTCGGTGTTACGTCAGTCATATCTTTTTCTTTTTTAATCAAACAAAAACAGAGGTGGGGTTTCCGTTGATTAAATGGATAGCAGTGCAAATATATGGGACAAATTCTGGACCTTTGTCAGTGAAGGGCGGCTCATCCGTTTACCAAATATGTGGATCTAATTGAATTTGCATTGTAAACATTAAATAAAAGTTAAAAAGCTATTTTTTAAATTTCAAATATGCATTTTTTAGTTAAGAATCATTCAGCTTAAATCCAGTTTTTTATTTTAATTCTGCGCAAATACAAAAAATGTCAGCAGATTCTGTCTGGCCTTTGTTATAAGATAAGGCTTTAACAAAGAGTTTTGTATGGAAAAAAATGCTGCAGAAAAAGTGGACACTAACTGTAGCACTCTATTAAAAACCAACACGCTATCAGTTGTTCGAGATTAGATAAGCTTGTTTGTCAGGCTGTAAACAAATGGTGTATTATAATCAGCCTGAGCCAGCAGATTTATTTCTGAGGCCTTATTAACCCATAGTACCAGATGGATGCACTCACCTAACCTGCTACACTAGGTAGCCTTTTGTAACTGGCATTTGCTCCACATTTATTTTTTGTTCTATACTTAATCAGATTCTGGTTTTCAAATCTGCTTCTTTCACGCAAGCTTCTGCACTGCACACTGATAAGATCTCACTGCTACAGCATGCTTTGTTTCGGCTTAGGCTATGTGAGAATGTGATAACAGCCTGACTTTGGGCCGCTATATAGCCGAGACCTACATTTTTCTATCATATGGTATACCGCACACACAGATGGCCCAAGATAGTTTTCTTGCTGTAGACCGTATAACATTGAAGATATGAACTGTTCAACTTTCACTCTTTAGGTATTTTTTTTCCGTCTTCTCATATTCACCCCACGTTTCTGTCTAACTGGAGCAGATGGAATGCCCATGTTTTACCCAGAAGTCACGTGATCTCCTAGTTAAAAATCCAAAGCATAGTTTTAGTTATGGTTCACTCAAAAATGAAAATTCTATCATTAATTACTCAGCCTCATATTGTTTGAATCATGTCAATCTAATCTCCTGAGACCTTTGCTCATCTCCAGAATGCAAATAAAGATATTTAAGATGAAATTTGAGAACTTTCTCGTACCCGCTAGACAGAGTCCTGAGATGTTCAAAGTCCAGAAAAGGAACCCAAAACATAAAATCTGGCCACAACATTCCAAGTAACTTAAGTGATTTAACTGTAATCTTATGTAACTCCAAAAAAAAAATATGTTGTTCAGCCTATATTTTCCATGACAGGTCGAGTGTGTTTACTACAGGCAGTACAACACATTGTCAACATTGCAACACGCAAGCTTCGTATTACCCATAGTAAACTTACGCTCCAATCTGACAATGAAAACATTATTTTGTGGACATTTTTTTTGGTGCAAAAAAGTGTTCTTGGAGCTTCAAATGATTACAGTTGAACCACTGAAGTTTTAGAAAAGTTTTCGGTATCTTTTCTGGACATCTCGCAACCCTTGTTGTTCATGGAGGGTCTGAGAGCTCTTGTATTTAATCTAAAATATCTTAATTTGTGTTTTGAAAGTCGCAATTAATAACCAAATATATTTTTTTTGGTTAATGTATACATTACAGTGTGTCTGTGTGGTCTTAAAATATCTTAAATTCCAAAAACAAAATCTTTTAAACCTAAAATACTTATAAAAGGGCGAAGCAGTGGCCCAGTATGTAGTGCTGTCGCCTCACAGCAAGAAGATTGCTGGGTCGGTGGTTCGAGCCTTGGCTCAGTTGGCGTTTCTGTGTGGCGTTCCGGGTGCTCCGGTTTCCCCCACAGTCCAAAGACATGCGGTACAGGTGAATTGGGTAGGCTAAATTGTCCGTAGAGTATGAGTGTGTGTTTGGATGTTTCCCAGAGATGGGTTGCGGCTGAAAGGGCATCTGCTGCGTAAAAACTTGCTGGATAAGTTGGCGGTTCATTCTGCTGTGGCGACCCCGTATTAATAAAGGGACTAATAAACTGACAAGAAAATGAATGAATGAATGAATGAAGACTTATAAAAATCACAAAGATTTGAACAGATATGTTAATCCCGGTTTCTTTATGATTTTTTTTTTTTTTTGTGGACATGTGTATACATGTAATTATGGTGCCTGTCAATTAATTCAGTGGGTGGGGAAAACCACACTCCTACATCACGTTGAAATGGGCCTTGAAATCACTGAGATTTGGGTCCTAAAAAGAGACTTGTCGGGTTTCGATCACTCCAATATGACAGTGGATACACTATACCTACACACAGTTCTGTCCAAACAGCTTACAAAAGTTTATCATTGGCGCCCTTTAAATTTGTTTGATGGAACCTGCAGAGACCCTGCTTTAAATGTAAATGTAAATACTAAATAATTTTCTAAATACTCTTGTGTTTTAAAAACTCTTATATTTTTAAACTCTTATAAAACAACAAAAGACATTTTGAACAATCTGTTGTTGTACATGCAGTCATTGGGGTCTTCATCTTTCTGTGAACCTTTGAGTTTTGTGTTCTTACATGTGCCAGTTTCCTTCTGTGAATCCATTCCAATTTCAGAAAATGTTCTGCTTACTGTATATGAACCCTAAACTTTCTAATCCAATTTGCATGAATATTTATTTTCCAAACACAATTTATGAGCATACAATGCAAACATTCTAGTTGCAATTGCAATATTCTCAAACCAAAAAGCCCTTGAGATTATTTTATTCCATGTGAATATATGCTTTTCTTATAAACTTAATGACATCTTTAAAAAAAAAAAAAAAACTTAACTACCATACGTGTCGTCTGAATTTTGCCTGTTTTCTCATTGCTCATATTATTTTAAATCTGTGTCGCGTTGTCCAATCCAGTTAAAATGCAATTAATGAGTGAAAGTGATTCATAAGACTTTCCAGTTTTAATGAGCTGTCAATCCAATTATAAACAGATTGTTTGAGTGCATGTTAATGTAGCTACTGTAGAGTCTATGGAATTATTTGTAGCCTAATTGACAATTGTTATGAGATGTGATAATTAAATGGGCCGATTTGTCTTAAAGGAGAGGAGAACCTCCTGTCCAGACAAGCAACATCATGGACGCCTGTGCACGGATCAGAGGTGTCCCAATAAAGAGCCGTGCCACCATGAAGAAAGAGGTATGCTCTTGATTGCAGTTTTTTTTTTCTACTAAAACATATCTGTGGTGTTATTTTTTGTGGGAATCTCCTGCAGTTTCTAACATACTTTATATTTCTTTGATCAGACCATCCGTGAGGGCTCAAACCCGTGCCTGAAGAGTTTGTTGAAACACAAAAAGGAGCTGTGCAATGTGGTTGTGGAGCTGCATAATAAAGAACCGCAGTGTCTGTCAGAAGTAAGGATCACACACACCGTCATGCATTTCAGACTTCCATATGGGTGTTTTTTAATGTGCATGAAGTTGCAAAGGAACTCTTTTATTGTGCCCTTATTATGCGCCTTTTGAACATTTATCCAAACTGCAATCTGTAATGTTGCTGTTTGAGGAGGTCGTCAAGGTTTTAAACATCAAAGAAGGGCTGAACAATTAATCAAAATCGACATTCAGTACCTATGATCGATCAAGTTTTTCCAGGTCAAATTTTTTAATTACTTTCCCTACCACGTGTGGAGTCACATGAACCTGCTCAGTTAAGGCTTTATACTTTAAATTTCTATGTTGAACGCACGGGTATGGTCCCGTGCAGCCTTCGTGCGGTCGTATTTAAGTGCACCTCTCAAAAAATTTAAGTATACATTACATGTTTGCACTACAGTGACGATGATTGGAAGCTGTGCCAAAGATGGCATATTTTTCTTTACAATAAAACTCTTATTTACATTAAAAATTTCTTTACAGAAGATTCAAGAAATGCACTGTTTAAAATATTATTTACAGGATATACAAGAGTTATTTTATTTAGAAGAGATGCTGCTTTGTTTCTACTTTAAAAATGGAAAACATTGAAAATAATTAGTTTTGTATCCAAAAGTGCGAGTTATTTATTTTCATTTTTTTATTATAAGAAAAAAGTGACTGTTGGTTTTAGGCAATGTGTGTTTTAATTTCAATTGTTCAACATTGATGTTTAATAAATAATCATAGATAGATTTCAGAAGTCAGATTATTTCTTTCGGTTATTTTAAAATCAAGTAATGCACCCTCCATTCCAAAATATCTCACTTGTAATTAGTGAGTATATTTACTGTACAAACAAATTTAATAAAATAGTCGTTCATTAATTGTACTCAAGTTAAAATGTTCAATTAATTGAGATTTTAATTTTAGGCCAAATCACCCAGCCCTACATCAAAGTTTGTGACAAATAAGGTCATTGTATCTTAAAAGAAAGAATCAATTCTGAACTGCTGAAATGTTTGTACCAGATCCTTAAGTAGGGGTGGGACTTCATAATCTGACCGTATTCTGAGTCACTTTTCGATTCCAAAACAATTCTCTACTGTATCTATATTTTTTTCCTGAATTCTTTGTGCATGGGATATTGAATCCAGAATTGGTTAAAATTGAACAAAATGTTACATTTTGTTTATGAGTTGAATCTATTCACAACAGTGCTGCCATCTTTAAAATGATTTGTTTTTATAGCACACTTATATTTAGGATGAATAAGCTATTAATGCAACACTGAATGTAACATCGCAATGCTTTTTGAACTTTTGAAAATCGCAAGCCATTGGTTAGGAAATTTTATATACAATGATGAAAATTAGCATATCAACACTGTATGGTTTTCCCTAAATGCTGAAAAATGGCCTCAAACACTGTAACTGTCTTATGTTGACAACGTCATGCTGAGGTGAAAAAGTGTTAGAGAAGTCAACTCTGCTTTGATTCGGAATTTTCAAAAGGCCTCGTTAATCTCTCTTAAATCAATTTAGTTTTTATACAGCAGATGGAGCTGAATGCTTTTTAAGCTGCTGAACACTTCTTGCATCCAATTTCTTATAAATACCACATGAACCTAAAACAGTCAAAAATGTTAGAAAAGGTTTAGGCCAATCACAAAGGAGAAAGGCCAATCACAAAGGCCAATCACAAAGGAGAAAACACATTATTAGGGAAAAACTTTGGTTATAATGTCAACATGGCCATACTGTACCCGGAGTTTTCAGAAGTTGTCAGTTTCAGTCTCCTTACACTAAGTTGTGTGATTCAAGTCTGGACAAACAGCCAAAATGCATAGAAAAAAAATAATCTAGTAATAAAACTAGCCATCTGTTGTGAAAAACAAAAGATTAGTGATACATTTTGAAATTCACAAAATCAATTTTGTAAGCAATTTTTTTAACACGGCTCTAATTTTGTGAACATAGACAGAACATTTCTTCTTGGCAAATCCCTTATTAGTTTTTTTTTTTTTTTAATCAGCAGATGAGGATCTAGGCTAGTTTTTAACTACAGCTAGTGCTCTAGCCTAGTTTTAACCGCAGATAGTGCTGTAAGCTAGTTTTTAAGTACAGATAGTGCTCTAGGCTAGTTTTTAACTGCAGATAGTGCTGTAAGCTAGTTTTTAACAGCAGCTAGTGCTCTAGGCTAGTTTTTTTAACAGCAGATAATGCTTTAGGCTAGTTTTTAACTACAGATAGTGCTCTAGGCTAGTTTTTAACATCATATAGTGTTCCAGGCTAGTTTTAACCACAGTTAGTGCTCTAGGCTAGTTTTAACTACAGTTAGTGCTCTAGGCTAATTTTTAAGATCAGATAGTGCTCTAGGCTAGTTTTTTCACAGAAGATTATGCACTAGGCTATTTTATTATTATTATTTTGAAACAGAAGATTATGCATAGGCTATTTTATTATTATTATTATTATTATTATTTTAAAACAGATGGTGCTCTAGTCTATTTTTTAACAAAATATTGTGCTTCAGGCTAGTTTTTAACTGCAGATGGTGCTCCAGGCTAGTTTTTAATCGTACATTTAAATGTTCATGAGGAAGAGCCCTTGAGAGTCAGGCAATTAGTAATGTAAACACAGCTCACTATACAGTGAACACTTGTAATTATCACTAAAAAAATGCCTATATATATTATAAAAAGTTTAAGCGTATTAAGTGTGTTTATAGTATAGGAATTGGATACAAGAAGGATATAGTTGTTTGTAAAGAATCGATGCAGAATCAAATTTTTTGCCTTAGTTCTACTGTTCACACATAATTTACCAGTGAAGACCTATGTGTAAAAGGTGCTAACAAAAATAATTATATATATACCAATATTTTTTAAACTGTAAAATAGCTGCAGAAATGATGAGAACAATTTCACAGGTTCTAAAACACATTTTAATAGGAGAATGATTATAAGCCTTTTAATCAAGCTTCACATTTCCCATTTAAGCTTCAAATATGTTATTATGCAAAAGAAGCTGTCTGTTGGACTAAACCTGAAACCCCAACATTGCTTCAGTAGAATGGTGCATATACAAATGTGTCAGCTGAAATCTTTTGTGACCTCCTTTTGAGCTGAGTGATTTTGAAAGCCTCTATGACAACAGATATTGGCGATAAAGAGAGTGGTTAGAGTCATCTGGGACAATGCAACAGTGTGACTGTTGCATCTCACCTCATTATTTACATGACTGCATCTCACCTACTTTGTATGAACTGTTATGTTCCAAAAATTGTTGGGCTGGCATTCATCCTTGTGGCTTTGCAATTCTTATGAAGAGCGGTGAACTGCTGATATTTTAGTTTATTTGAACACACTGCACCGTTGACTAAAGGAACTCAGATAATGCAAATGCTGCATAGCATCACTCCATCATGGCAAGCTTGACACCTGAAATTGTGAAAGTAAACTCAGCTGCAAGTGACATATGGATTTATGCTTTGATATAACACTCTTCTCCATCATTTTTCAAATTTAACTGTTTTGCAAATTGATCAACCTTCTGGTAGTTCAGCACATGATCAATAGAAAATGCAAACAAATGTTATTATTACAGTAGGTGTGCCTAGTTTAATCAGCAAGGAGGATCCTGACCATTTATTGCACCTGTTAATTTCATTTAAATTAATTAGCAGTGACGAGTACTAACCACAAAATAAGTTTGTGCTTTGTGTTAAAGAGAAACAGGCGATTATTGTTTAACACCAAATTTCAGTTTAAAATCTTTATGCAATCTTTAATATGCATAATTGTGTCCTCGTTTTGTAGGTACATTATGTTTGCTTACCTAGTCATGCTGAGGGAGAGGACTTCACTCTACAGGTACAAATCTTTTGTGCTATGTGTGTGTTTCTTGAGCAGCAAATCATATTACAATGAAATCAGGAGGATCATATGACATTTTAAAGACTTTTTTGTGTGATTTTTTTTTTTTTTTTTTGGAGATCCTAGAGTAATACATTTTTATGCCCACAGGCTCTGACGTCACTTTCTACTGAAATGATGGAGTTGCTTAGGTCACTACATGTACATAATCTTAAAGATGAAGAGATTCTACTTCTCAAAGATCCTAAAAGACCTTTTGAGAGAAAAGACAGTGTTTCTCAGGTATTTTTGTTTGAGTGTTGTTGAATTTTTGAGAGTATATGTTTATTTTTATGTCTTTTATTTTGAAAATCAGGTGTCTGGCACTGTTTTGTATGGGTTTTTAAAATTTGTGGTATTTATATTATTGTGTGAAATTGAGTCTAAGCAGAACTAACCTTGTGAAAGGCAGTAATGTTGTTAGGTTTTGAATTTTGAGCATTACTTCAAACCACAAATGTTTTCCAGACACATGTTTTCACACATGTCGGGGAAAATTAAAATACTGTGAGAAGTATAGAAATTTGAACTTCTCAAGGAATTATGTCAGTTTAGTGCTTGACAGGTCACAGACTTAGTCCGTTATGTTTATCTTCCAGATTAACATTAAGGCTATCATAACAATTTCTCTTGTCACTGTATCATGGCTTAAATATTTTTATTATGTCATCCCAGCATTTTTAACCCATTTAATGTCTTTTAAAACTGCATTATATTATTTATCTTTCATCTTTAGGCCTGTTCAAGAGCCTTGTGTATACTGAGGCATAGTCCCACCTCTCAAACTAATGTTTGCACCATGCTGGGGTTGTTGGCTCGGTACAGCGCTGGAATAAGGTATGCCCTGGAGTTACAGGTTCTGCACAGAGGCAATTCAGAATCATGTCAGGCTGAGGATGATGACACCAATCAGTCTGTCTCTTCTATCGAAGAGGACTTTGTTACAGCTCTTGAGCATCTCGAAGAAGATGACACAGGTGACTATGTAGGAAGGTTACTAAATAGTTTTATCTTGATAAAATTATTAATGTTGTATCACTCAACATTTTTTGCTAACTGTTCAAGTCAATGCATCTTTGCTGAATTAGAAGTATAGATAACCACCAACCAGAGAGGTTTTGAAAGTAAATGCTTATGACCATCTACAAGTTCAGTTTTTAGTTACTTTAATATTATTTACCAATGTGTTCTTCGGTTCTTGCAGGTTCTCATGGTCACAGGAACCAAAGGGATGTGGCATCCCAGACAGTCCCCTCTCATTTGAAAGACCTAACTGGATCTCACATAATTTTAAGTTCCATTCCCAAGAAGTCATCGCGCAGAGAAAAGGCTCAGGCAAAAGTGTCAGAAACCGTGATAAAGTCAATAGCATTTCAAAGAAATTCAGAGAGCCCATGTGTACTTGGCAGTCCGCCAAAAGGACGTGCTACTGCCACGTCCCTTACTGAGTCAGATGATTCAGATTGCTCAAGTCCCAGCCCAATTATATTCTTGGATGAAGTTGGATATCAGAAGAGTCTAAAAGCAAAACTTGACATCCCCAAGATCCCTGTTTTAAAGGATGGAGTAGAAGACTCTGACTCAGAAGTTAGTGAATTTTTCGACAGCTTTGATCAGTTTGATGAACTAGACCAGTCTTTTGATTCCATTGTCAAGGCTCATAAAGAACACCCTGGTCAAACAGAGAAGCATGTTGACAAGTCTGGATGTAAATTCGTATCAAGGGGGTGCTCAACCACAGGAATGAACCCTCACAAGTTTGATCATAGGACTCTTCCAGCCAATGTCAAGAAACCAACCCCACTTAAACCAGGATCACCCTATAGTATTCAGTCTGACTCACCAGAATCCCCACGGCTGGCAAGGACTCCCTGCGAGGAAAGCGGGCCACTCTTCAGCCCAGTTCGTTCATCTGCATTTAGCCCACTGGGAGAAGGAGGGTCCTTAGAGTATTTTTGGAAGGGGGACAGTGAGGGTTCAGAATTACGTAAACCACAGGACCTTTGCTCGCTGTACAAAACGTACTCTGATTTTGCCAACAGTTTGTCAAAAGAAATCCTTGGATCAGTTTGTGGGTACTCCTCCCCTGTTGATTTTAACATTAATAAAAACCTGAGCTGTGTGTGTCATAAGGAGTTCCAAAATACTAATGGACATCTCATGAAGCTTTCAGACATCCAGGAGACAGTCACCATCACCAAATCCCAGTCACAGTCTCTTAAGGATGGGATTCAGAAATTTGCTACAGACTTGGTTGAAAGGAGCCTTGGCAGTGCCTTAAGGGACTTGCAGAAAGGTGTGTCCTCCTGTACCACTACGCTTTGCCATATGGCTGCAAGGTTGACTTCTTCAGTTTTTCAAATGGCCTTTCATGAGATAGGTATGCGCCATGCATATGTGTTAAAAGAGCGTGCCATAAATGGTCTAGCCAATTTCTTAGTAGGGGAGGCAATTTCTGGAGCCCTCAAAGAGTTCTTGTTTGTGAAAAAGCAGATTTTTAATAACACTGTCACACGATTTGCTGCAGATCTGGCCGAGGAATTAGTGTTTGAAGGAATTATGGAGGTATGCCAGTTTTCACATCCCTCAACACCACTCACACCAAGTGACTGGTCATTTGAGCAAGAGGAGGAAGTGGTTTCATCCTATGCCTCCGATCTCTCTGAGTCTGTTTTGCAAGAGGCTTTTATAGAGCTCTCTCAAGCTGATGTGACTTTTACTACACAGGCAGCTATCAGTGTGTCAGTAGACAACATTTGCTATGTGAGTGCTGAAGATAGTTCTCATATTACAAAAACCTGCAGTTCTCAATCTAGCTATCTTGGATCACAGATTGTCACAGAGGTTGCAAATCAAGAGCAGGGTGGTTGCACAGTTAAGAAAGCCTTGTATTGTGTGTCAGGTATGGCCAGTTGTGTTCCAGTTCCTGTGGCTGGCAAGGTCATATCTCATGTACACAGCTCAGATGAACCTTCTCAGTATAAACACAGTATTGATCATGTATGTCAGACCAGCCCTAAAAGAACCATATGTTGCCAAGGGGAGGCAGCATCCTCAAGCTCAGATATCTCTGCTACAACTCAGACTGAAACTTCCCCAGGTCCTGCAAGAATCCAAAATGCCAGTGTTGAGGAAATTGTTAGCAGTCCATCCACTGAAAATGATTCCAGCAAACCCTCAATTGGAAAGACTTTTCAAAACTTCTCTGGGAATATGGTGGACACAATAGTAGGTGAGGCATTCGATCTTATGCATTCCTCAACAAAAGTGAAAAAGAAAGTTGAGGACTGTGCAGACTTTTTGAACAAAACAATAGCAGCTCGTATATCCACTCCAACCCATGGAGTTGTCAAATTAAATGATGTATCAGGTCAAAAAGGTTGCCATCAGACTCCCTTTCACTTGACATCAAAAGGCTCTTGTGACACATCCTCGAGAACTGTTCGTCCGGTCTCCAAGCTTACCCCAGAGGTCCGCTCTGTAGCGAGAAGGGACGTATTGGAGGTGCCAAGTTTTGAGTTTCACTCATGTGGTGGTAGAAGAGCAGCTGCTGAAGACTCATTAAGCAGCAACTCTGGATCAAAATCAGTTGAAATCCCAAGCACTCCACCCTCGAGTCCTCAACAGCCATCTGATGAGCACAGTGAGAAACAGATTAGACAGTTCTCAAAGAAGCTCAAAGGAACACTTGCAAAAGAATTTTCTCCTGCAACTCCTCCACCCACCCCGTATTACCCGCCTGTTACAGATGTCAAAGAAAAAGGTTCTGTTTCTGACAAGGCTGATTTCATGCTGAAACTCATTAGGTCTCTCTCTGAAGAAGCAGTCAGTAATGAAGATGAGGAGGAAGACCAAGAAGATGGTCCTCACACTAGAAACTCCCAGGAAAAGATGAGTCCCAGTGTCAGGAGTAGAATGATTGAGAGGAGTGCCCTCCATTATGCAGAGCGTTTAGCATGCCACATTGTGTCCATGGCAACTGAGATGGACACACTCAGCCTCGGAGATGTGAAAAAGCCTGTGGGTGATGAGAGCAAAGACAGTATTGCCTTGCATAGTGCACAGTTTTCAGAGCAGACTTTGAATTCTTTGTGGACGTATGCTGGAGAAGTGGCTGGAGAAGTCATCAATGATGTCAAAAGGATGATAAGTTCAACCCATTGTCGTCACAAAACGATAAAAAGAGGATCTGTGTATTCTGCAGACAAGCATCAGAATGGAGAAGGCCTTTTAGGAAGTTTGACTTGTCAATGGTCTAGTGATGTTCAAGCAAGTGGCGGTTCAAGTGGAATGTCATCAGAATATCCGAGTTGTGAGAGTGTGACTGACGAATATGCAGGTTACCTCATTAAGGTGCTCAAGAAGGAGGGAGGCAACAGAGAGCTTATATTGGATCAGTATGCCACACGTTTGGCATATCGATCAATTAAGTCTGGCTTAGCTCATGCAGCACGGAAAATAAAGCAGAGGTCTCCTTTGAGGCTTCACTCCTCTCGTCGATTACACAATGATCACAGTCCTGAGGTTTCTCAAATTTCCATATCTATGTCACCCCACACTGCAGTAACTGATGGCAAAGATGGGTCCTCCTGTGAATCTCTGCCATGTGCCTGTCAAGATAGTCAAGACTTGAGCAGTAACGAATATGTTGAACTTGTGAGCTTTGCAGAGTCGCTGGCCTACAACATCACATGTGATGTCACGAGAAAGCTGAGAATGTCGTCAGTTAGAATGCCTAAATCGCTCACTGATTCTTGCCTCTACAGGAAATCTACTGTTGAGGACGTGCCTGAAAATCTCATCAAGGGTACATTTTCATGCTCCCCTTTACCTTTCGCTGAAGCAAACAGGCTGTATCACAGTACGAGCAGTTTGAATGATGGTAAAAGCAACAGCGGTGTCATGCAAGTGATTGAACATTATGCCAGGAAAATTGTTGATGACACTTTGGAAATGACACTGGGGCCGGCATGTGTTCAGGCAGCGGGGGACAGGAGAGCACTTGAACCCAATTCCTTTACAGAAAAACTGGCTGAGGCATGTGAAACCTGTCGATATTGCCAAGGTCGAGATTGCTTGTTTTGCAGTCGAGATGGACGTCGCGGTTTTCAGGGTCTGAAAATAAGAAGGCAACAAGAGTCTGGTGCAGTGACTGGTTTGGATATTCCTAGAATTCACATTGATTTGGAGAAAAGAACTGCTTTTGCTGAAGAAATGGTATCCAGTGCTATTGAGAAAGCCAAGAAGGAACTGAGCTGCACCAGCCTGAATGCTGACAGTGGGATTGGTCATGATGGCGCAAGCTTTGCAGAAAGTCTCACCACAGAGATTATGACATCCGCATTGTCCAATGCCTGCCAAACCATCAATCTCGGGTAAACTTAAGCATCTTTCACAGAATCGTTTAAACTTGCTCAACAGTTACTCACAAAATGTGGATTTCCTAGATTTTGAAACACTTTTGTAGTCAAAGATTGTGTATCATGACTGACGTCTTTTTTGGTTCAGGACTCCTAGAAAAGAGGGTGGCAATGTGACGGAGTCAACAGTGAGTCAGCAGCTCAGTTTGAGTGTTGGAGATGATAGTCTTGGGAGCTGGTCCAATCTGAGTTTTGAAGAAGACCACCCAGATGAGAGCAGTAGCTTTCACCATCTAAGTGACAGGTGAACAACTCCCACTCCCCTTTCAAACAGTATTAAGGTTATAAAATTGTTAATTTCTACATTAAAGGGATAATTCACCCCAAAAATGCAAATCAGCTTTTCTTCTTCTCTTCTTGTCTTGCATAGTAGGAAACACAAATCAGACAGTTCTTTTGTGTTCAATGGAAGAAAGAAAATCAAATAGGTTTTGAACAAGTGAAGTGTGAGTAAATGACCACAGAATTATTGTTTTTGGGTGAATAATCCCTTTAAGTGAAGCTGGTTGACTAATTCCACACTCTTCACTTCACTTTCTTTTCTTGTACACCTTTCACAAGCATGTGTCTAATTATTGCAAAAAGTATGATTTGCTTGAATGACCTTATTTGCAGTGACCATGCTATTGCAAACACTCAGTGTAAAGTAGAGAGATTTGTTTGTAGAGCTTACAGTGAATTAGTGAAGCAGTGTCATTGGATACATTAACATGATCCCCAAATAATCAGATTGAAACACGTTCATTTAAATGCCTTAATCCGATTGAGTTTAATCTGAAATTTTTTTTGACTGCATTATAATTGTAATACAACAGCAAAATATACCATTTTAACCCTTGTGCTGTTGGGAATGGTTTTCATCCTCCTGGGGGTGATTTTAAGTTTTAATTTGGCCATAACATTTACCGTGTTTCAGCTAGCACAAGCAGAAAGATTTACGGTGGCCTTATTCTTATCTTATTTTGACACATATTTTGAGAGAATGCTTTGATTAAAAATAAATAAATAAATAAAAACTCAAAAATAAATTTAATGCGCAAAATTACTACCCTTTTGTTGTGTTAGGGATGAAAACATCAACAAAATTAAACTGCTTTAAAAATTTATTAGATTAATATTTTTTTCAGTTTTCTTTTTTGTATAAATCTGCTAATCAACCTCAGTCCTGATCAAAACTACTAATTGCTTAGAAAATGACAGAATTTTAACTGTTTAATTGCCAAATTCAGAAAGGATGTCACTGATTTGTTGAAAAAACAAACAAAAGGACGAATTTTAAAATACAAAAAGTAATTGTGTACTGTACTGAATTGTGCAGTTGTTTTACCTTTTATCAAAGTCTTGACGTGAAACAGCATTGCCTTTGATGCATTTTCTTTCCCCCCCCCCTAATTTACTGTTGGTGGCTGTTTTTGCTGCATTAACTTCTATTTTAACCACAATTTTTAATTACAAAACCATGACTTATTATAATCATGCATTTTTGATTGTTGGTGGTTTATTCTGGTTTGTATTTTTACGATTGATAATCATTTGGCACCATTAACACTTTAGATAGGTCTGTGCAAAAAAAAAAAAAATTTAAATAAATAAATAAATAAATAAATAAATAACTTAGTTTCTGGATTTTATAAATTAAAGTGTGTGTGTCTGAGTGTGTAAAAGTATGAGAGTGACCTTTACTTTGTGTCTGAGAAAATCTAAATATGCATCACAGCTCTTAGAACTACATGGAATTTGCAAAAACAAAGACTGTATTAATGCACCATCAAATGTGATATTTAAATCAATTTGGTAAAAACTGCCACCAACAGTGATTTAGGAACGCGTTTCAAAACATACTAGTTTTCATAACTCAGTTCTAAAAACTGATTTATCCTTTTTCTTTGCTTTTTCTTTTTTTCTTTGCTGTGATGACAGTACATAATATGTTACTAGATATTTTTCAAGACACTTTTATACAGCTTAAATAGGTTAATTAGGTTAACTAGGCAGGTTAGGGTAATTAGGCAAGTTATTGTATAATGATGGTTTGTTCTGTAGATTATCGAAAACAAAAATAGCCTAAAGCGGCTAACAATTTTGTCCCTAAAATGGTGTTTAAAAAATTGCTTTTATTCTATCTCCAGAAGAAAAAATATTATCAAACGTGCTTTAAAAAGTTCTTTGCTCTGTTAAACATCATTTGGGAAATATTTAAAAAAGAAAAAAATTCAAAGGGGGCTAATAATTCTCACTTCAACTGTAAAATACGTCATTTTATGTGTTTTTTTTCACCAAATCAGTGACATCATTTGTTAACTTGACAATTAAAGAGTTAAAATCATGTAATTTAATTCTAAACAATTTAGTAGTTTTGGTCAGGACTGAGGTTGAATAACAGATTTATGCAAAAAAAATAATATACAGTTGAAGTAAGAATTATTAGCCCCCTTGGATTTCTTTTTTATATTTCCCAAATGATGTTTACTAGAGCAATGAAATTTTCACAGTATGTCTGATAATATATTTTTTCTTCTGGAGAAAGTCCTATTTGTTTTATTTTGGCTAAAATAAAAGCAGTTTTTAATTTTTTAAAAACCATTTTATGGTTATTACCCGTTTTAAGCTAGTTTTAAGCTAGTTTTTTTTTTTTTTGATAGTCTACAGATCAAACCATCTTTATACAATAACTTATTACCATAACTTGTCTAGTAAACCTAATTAACCCAATTAAGTCTTTAAATGTCACTTTAAAGATCACATAGGGTACCCCTTTTTTCATATTTATTATAAGTCTTTTGTGTCCCCAGAATGTGTCTGTAAAGTTTCAGCTCAAAACACCCATCAGAGTTTTGATTATAGCTGTTTGAAGTGTCTGTATTATAGCTGGGAAAAGGTTGTTGCTGTTTTTTTTGCACTGGGCCTTTTAGGCTAATCATCCCTGCCCACCGTTCCCATGTGCCTGTCAGCAACATATATGTATATGTATATATATATATATATGTATATATATATATATATATATATATATATTTATATATTTATATATATATATATATATATATATATATTTATATATATATATATTTATATATTTATATATATATATATTTATATATTTATATATATATTTATATATATATTTATATATATATTTATATATATATATATATATATATATATATATATATATATATATATATATATATATATATATATATATATATATATATATGTTGCTGACAGGCACATGGGAACGGTGGGCAGGGATGATTAGCCTAAAAGGCCCAGTGCAAAAAAAACAGCAACAAAAAAATCAATTGGAATGTATATAAAAAGCATATAAACAGATATTTGAATAAGATTACAATGTTTAAAGTACATGTAAACTAATTTGCAATTGGATTCAGTTAATTCGCATTGACAAAATTTGGTACAGGTAAATAGAGCAAGCGTCAGATGTTCTGTAGGTTGTATAGAAGTCTTTTAGAGCATTTTCCATACCAGTCTCAGTCATGTTTGGTTTTTCAGTACCGATATTTTGACTGCATTCACATGTTTAGTCTGAATTTTATCAGTTTAGGTTTTTAAACTGCGAGAACCTATTGTATGACTCATCTTAGCTCTAAGTTTATTGCTCTCTCTTTCTTTTATACACAAGCCATCTTAAAACATCTTTGAAGCCAGAGATGCTGATTAACTCACCATTTTTCAAACTTGCTGAAAAACACCTAGGGCCTCATCCAGATGAGCATTTAGGGGTATTGTTTTTCAGAGAAATATCTTTGGCTTAAAAACATGACAGCTGACTCACACGGTCTTGCCTTTCAAAGGCAGGCATTGTTTTGTATTGTTTTTGGCTTGAGTGTCCTAATGGAAGCAATTCCTGTCAACATTGTAATATCTCCCAAGACACTAAAAGATAGACTGAATGAGCAATTTTTGTTTTGGACAACCCAAGACACCAAAATATTTGTCAAAGGTGTGGTATGTCAGCTTGAGGCAGTGTTTCTAGAGTAACCAAACTTTAATGTATCATTGTGTACTTAATAATGGTTACCAGTATTTTTAAAGTTTCTTATTCGTGATATTAGTGTTTTATTAAAGTGTTATAAATTTGTTATTTTGTCAGTTTTAAAATTAGTAATATATTTAAATATTAAAAATGTATTTTTGTTTTGTTGCTTGTGATAAAAAAAATGGTTGTAATTTTTTTTTTTATAATTAGACCAACATTTCTATCCTTTCATAGAAATAACTGATTATTACTTTATCAGACTAATACACATGGTTCATAACAGATATATTTCATTTAATTATTTATTTATATATTTCATATAATTATTGGAATAAAATATTAAATGTACAAATAAGCTGCCAATCACAACAGACAAAAAATATGTTAATGTTAATATGTTAAATATCTGAAAAAAAGTTTTCAATTTCAAGTTCATTTTCAATAATTCAAACACACAAAATATGTATAAATTACAATATTTTTTATTATATATTTGGAAAAACATTTCTGAGACCATTATTGAACAAAAAAATATTAGCAGATCACTCCAACTCGTACCTAATAAATCCAAAACAGAGAAATGTTTTTAGGAGCTCTATTATTATCATAATTATAATTATTATTATTATTATTATTATTATTATTATTATTAGTAGTAGTAGTAGTAGTAGTAGTAGTAGTAGTAATTCTGCATAAAACATTGCTTGTTTTTTATTAAAAAATCAACAGTTATAGTTCTTGGTTCTGACTCATTATCTGCATTAAATGATTTAAGCCATAGGATATCATCTTCAAGACAGGACTTTCTGTATGAAATTTGGGAAAAAATTCTGCTAAACTCAAAGAGAAACACACGTTTCCTTTGGGTTACAAGTTCACGCGCTAACCATTAGGCCACTTCCCCCATAGTATAATGACGTGGCAATTTGTTTTATCAAACATTGTTTACTATTTTTAAAATACAAAACTACAGTATTTTATGTTGATACATTTGTGGCTGCTGTATTTAGTAGCAAATACATTACATACAGTGTGTATGTATACAGTTACATAATTTGTATGTGTACAATTCTTTGGAATTATTAGCCCTCCTGAATTATTAGCCCCTCTCTGTATATTATTCCCCAATTTTTGTTTATCAGAAAGAAGATTTTTTTTTTTTTCCGTTTTAATAACTAATTTCTAATAACTGATTTATTTTTGCTATGATGACAGTACATAATATTTTACTAAATATATTTTAAGATACTAGTATTCAGCTTAAAGTGACCTTTAAAGGCTTAACTAGGTTAATTAGGGAAGTTAGGGTAATTAGATAAATAATTGTTTAACAATGGTTTGTTCTGTAGACAATCCAAATAAATCGCGTAAGGGGGCTAAAAATATTGACCTTAAAATGGTTCTAAAAAACATTTTATTTTTTCCTGCTATTATTCTAGCCAAAATAAAACAAATAAGACTTTCTCCGAAAGGAAATACTGCGAACATCATTTTGAAAAATTTGAAAAAGATGGAGGTCCGATGCCCTGCAGTGTTTAGCTCCAATTTGCCTCAGCACACCTGCCTGGGTGTTTCAAGTATACCTAGTAAGACCTAGATTAGCTTTTTCAGGTGTGTTTGATTGGGGTTGGAGGTAAAATCTGCTGGACACAGGCCCTCCTTGAATAAGTTTGGTGATCCCTGGTATAGATGGATAGCTTGCTTGTAGGGTTGGGTCGATAGACGATGCCAATGTCCATTGCCGATGGCAGATAGACATTACGATGCTGAGCCGGCATCGTGATCCTCTGCCCCGCCCCTGTCACAGCAGCAACCGGCTCACGAAAAATGCACGGCTCTATTTAATAAGGCCCTATTTACACTATTATGTTTTACTTTTAAAATGCCATTTTAGAATGAAAACGATCCATGTCCATACTGGCGTTTCACCTGGCATTTCTGAAAAACTGCAGTTGCAGCATATGTGCGTTTCTGAGCTCCAGCAGTCAGCGGGTGCTTTGAGCACAAAATTCCAGAGAGCAGTGCACGTCGAATCAAGGATGTACCGCTGGATCGCGTCTCACTACAGTTGTTAAATGTGTCAAGTATTTGTAAATGTGTAAAATATGTATAAATATTTAATTCATCCATCAGGTAACATGTCACAGTGTCAGTAAACTGCTTCAATCTTTTGCTTTCACGCTTGTTAATAGTAATTTTAGCAAAAACCTCAGATACTGTTGGTTGTGCATTTTCTTTACCAACCAAATTTGTCGACGCCATTATAACGACACACATCACTCTGCCTATTCATGTCAGAATCCTGCAGAAAAAGTGTTTGACAGGTGGTAATTTGTGTGTAACTTTTTAAAATTTTTTATTTCTTTATGATTTGGTTATAGGTAAAACAAAGACCATGCTGGTCAGGTAGTTGATACGGTAGTCTACAAATAATTCAGTCGTTATTAACTAGTTATTTATTCATAAATAATTAATTTACCGCCACCTATGACAATGATGCCATAATCCATTGCGAGGGTTGACATTAGACATCGTACGATGCCAAATTGATACATTGCCCAACCCTACTAGATAGATAGATAGATAGATAGATAGATAGATAGATAGATAGATAGATAAAAAGCTTAATTATTAAGGAATATAAAGTCTATAAAGCAAAATATTTGCATTGCAATGATGTTGTAGTGTTTGTGTTTTTCTCTCCCCCAGCAGTAATGGAAACAGCAGTAGCTGGAGCAGTCTGGGTTTAGAAGGCGAGGTTTATGAGGAACATTTGTCCTTTTCTCCATCAGACAGGTTGGTCTATGGAAAGAGGCATCGTACAGCCAGCGTGGGCTCTAATTACTGCATGATGTCATGCAACGTTTTATCAGCTAGTGCTGAAAGCGTGTCCGATATTACCTGCTGGAAACAAAACTTTCCTTTGTTTTGTTTTTTTTTCCTCCATTTGTGGTTGGGGATTGTCAATTGAATCTTTGTGTTGGTAAAATTGTGGGTGTAGGAAGTGTTGAGTGGGGGGTTGTTGGGTCATTGACTTCATAAGTGTTTTGTGATGTATATTTGCTAAAGAATGAACTGTCTGTCTTTATTGCATGCTTCCTGTTTTGGTGAAAAAAAAAAGCATGTCCCAGCCCCTAATTCTCATGAGAGCGCAGGTCCAGAACATGAATCATTTCCGTTAGAGTACAACATGACTCAATCTGTACAAAAAGCAACAGATATGACTTAATAATTCATTACATCAGACGCAGGAAATTGATATCAGAGGAAAATACAGTAGGCAATTATCAAGAGAGTCATAATGGAATCTATAATCCTTCACTCTCCAATGTCAAAATTACAGTTAAAATGTTAATTTGCCCAAATATATAATTTTTTCAATAATTGCTCACTTTTACGTTGTTCCAAACCCCTGAGACCTTCGTTCATCTTCGGAACCCAAATAATGATATTTTTGAAATCTGAGAGCTCCTTTATCCAACTCATTGAAAGACCAGAATGGTACCAAAAACATCTTCAAAACAGTCTATGCTGACATATATTTTTGATGTTTCGTTACAAACAGAGAAGGTTTGCACATGCATCTAGGGTACACATCAGTGTAAGGCTGGTTGATTTAATTCAAGCAATTTTCATGCACATTTTATAAGTAAAGCCAGTAAATGGCCCACTGGGCAGTTAGTTTGAGACACCTGCTTTAAATGTATGCTAAAAAATGGCCACTCAGATTTGGGCAACAAAAGAGCTTCAATTTTTAAAAGCCCAACTCGATGTTATTCCAGCAGTCACTGATGCCTTTGGCGACGGTGATCTCAGGATATAAACACTCTGTCACAGGTGTCAAACTCAGTTCCTGGAGGGCCACCGCTCTGCACAGTTTACTTCCATCCCCAATTAAACACACCTGATCAAACTAATTAAGTCCTTCAGGCTTGTTTGGGTGCACGAAAATCTGTCGTACGACATGCGAAAAGGGGCAGGATTAAACCTGATGATTTGACATTTAAAAAAGCGAGCGATTGGTCCATATTTAACTTCCTGTCCAGAGAGGTCATGTTTTGATCTTCGATTAGTCTCACGCAATTACGTGATGCGGTTTCGCATGTAAGAGTTCACCTAGCTTGAACTTTCCAACACAGCGAACTGCAAAACTTGTCACACAAGCTTGCGTTTCCGGTCTGCCGCATTCGTATGCGTATGAATGGAATTATATGGGGAGAAAACTCTAGTGTGACCGCAGCTAAAGTGACACCCCTGACACCCCTGCTCTGTTGCAATAAAATGGAGTATATTACCTTTTTAAAGTAACTTGACACAACAAATATATATATATATATATATATATATATATATATATATATATATATATATATATATATATATATATATATATATATATATATATATATATAAATATACATGTATATGATGGTGGTTTTATACCAACGATTAGTCTGATTCCGAAAAGTTTGCTTAAAGGGCCAGTTTCTCCAAAAACACTTGTTAAAACCTTTGAAATGTCTTTCTTGTGTTTAACTCACACACACAAAGACATTATGAATAAGGATATTTTTCTGCTTTGGGTGTCGATGGCTACTAGTTACATTTTTCAAAATAGAAACTCCTAAAGGTTTGAAACCACTGGAGGATGAGGAAACTTTCATTTTGGGGTGAGCTATCCCTTTAAGATTTAAAAAAAAAAGAATAATAATAGTTGAGGCCTTGGCGATATATTTGACTTTACTGCATTTCTGCAGAGATTCTTTTGACAATATAAAATCATGCAATTAAATGAAGCATTTAAGTTTTCAAAAGGCTTTGTCATTAGTTTTATAAGCCCTCTTTGTCTCATGAAAACAATTAAAACCTATTGAATAGCAATATAATATCCGCTCATTAATCAAAGCATACTGTTCCATTATAGTTTGTGGTCAGTTTTTTAATAGTCTTATTAAAATACCATGTCTAAAATTAAAAAGTCTTAATATAAAATAGTTTCATTACAATTTAAAATGTCTCATTTCTTTTTAAGTGTTTTTTTTTTATTTTGTCGTTTATTTTTTTTATTGATCTTGAAGTTAGATTTGTAGAGAGTATTTCAACAGCTCTCAGCGTTGTAATATGCTGAATTTCTTTAAAAGTTCATTTTAATTTTAAACTAAGCAACATTTGACAGGTAGATTGGATAAATATTGATATGCAAATCGAAAAAGTGTTGAGAGGAATTTGTTTAGCTATAATACCTGACTCCAGATATCTGCTTCAGTGTCTGTTAGAATGAGAAAATGATTTGAAAATGTAGCACTAGTGAATTGTTTCATATTTGAGAAATAGGAATGCTGGGAAATGCTATCACTCTTTCTTGCATGTGCTTTCTGTTATCTCTTTCTTCAGTCTGTCATTAAGTCTCTCTTACACCTGTAATACTTTTCACCTTACAGCGACTGCCCTGAAGAGAAGGAAGCAGAAGCCAAAGAGGAATCAGCCGGTAAATGAAAACTATCTGCTCTCTGCATTCGCCTCCAGCGCTAGTGTTTATTCTGTGGTCTGTTGCTAAACCTCAACTGTTACACTAATTTCAGCCCTTATTTTTGTGCTGCCACTCATTTAAAGTGGTCTTACTTGGCCGAGCACCTTCAGCGGGCCCCTGTCAGAAGCCGCAAGACTATTTATCCACGTTCCTAGTTGTCTAACTGTCAGAGCGGCTCCATGTGGGTCAACAGATGAGCTCAAGCAGAGTTCTGCGTCTGGCCTGCTTAAACAGAGAGAGCGTGGGAAACTGGAGGATTTGCTGAGATGTACGGATGCAAAATTTTGCGTTTCAGTTTCGAAAAATTGCAAATCTGCAATATCTCATGTACATTTGCATGTGTTTTTGAGGCATTACCTTAAACCACCCAAGAATAAGAAATTATAATGTTTAGTTCAATAAAGATGAATTTTTATTTCATTATTTATATGCAGTTTTGGGGTAGTGCATTACAAGTAACGTGTTAAGTAATCAGATTACTTTTTTCCCAAAGCAACTATTAAACTATTGCATTCATTTTTCATACTTTTCCAAAATATGCATGATACTTAATGTAGTTCTAGTTTGAATAGGATCATGTATTTACTCATCTCACTTGTGTGAAAACACTGCATGCGACTTTAAACCACCCGTGAACATGAAATTAGAATGTTTAGTTAAACAAAATGGATTTATTCATTACTTGTATGCCGTTTTGGGGTAAAGCGTTTGAGGTTACACATTATGTAATTAGAAAACTTTTTTCAAGTAACTAGTAAAGTATCGCATTACTTTTTCATTATTTTTTCTGAATGTACCCTAGTTACATGATACTTACTGTAGTTCTAGTTGGAATAGAAACATGTATTTACTCGTCTCACTGGCGTGAAAACATTTCAGGCGAATTTAAACCACCTAGGAAGAAAAAACTAGTGTTTGTAGTCCAACAAAGATTGATTTTATTTCATTACTTACAGTTTTGGGTTAATGCATTACAAATAACACATTATATAATCTGATTACTTTAAGTAACTAGTAAAGTACAGCATTATTTTTTTCCATACTTTTTCGGAAAATACCCTAGTTACATGATATGTACTGTAGTTCTAGTTTGAATGGGAACATATTTTTACTCTTCTTACTTGTGTGAAAACATTCCAGCCGACTTTAAACCACCCAGGAACAAGAAATATTAATGTTTGTAGTTTAACAAGATGAATTTTATTCCGTCATGTTTATAGTTTTGGGTTAATGCATTAAAAATAACACATTATGTAATCAGATTACTTTTTCAAATAACTAGTAAAGGATCGCATTTTTCATACTTTTTTATAAAATAGCCTAGTTATATGATATTTACTGTAGTTCTATTTTGAATGGGAACATATATTTACTCATCACACTTGTGTGAACAAATTTAAGGTGACTTTAAATCACCCCGGAACAAGAAAAAACTATTGTTTGCTGTATAACAAACATAAAAAAATTTTCAGTAGTTTCATGCAGTTTTGTGGTTATGCATTACAATTAACGTGTTTAGAAATCAGATCACTTTTTTCCATGTAACTAGTAAAGTATTGCATCAATTTTTTAAACTTTTTCAGAAAATACCTGAGTTACATGATATTTACTCTAGATCTAGTTTGAATGAGTATGCATTTTACTCATCTCACTTACGTCAAATGTTTTAGGTGATTTTAAAACACCCAGGAACACTAAATAATATTGTTTGTTGTACAACAAAGACAGGTTTTATTAAATTATTTATATGCACTTTTGTGGTAATGCATTTTAAGTAACATGTTATGTAATCAGATTATTTTTTCAAGTAACTAGTAAAGTGCTGCATACATTTTTCAGCCTTTTTCAGAAAATACTCAAGTTAGATAATACTCACTGTAGTTCTAGTTTGAATGGAAACACGTATTTACTCAACTCACTTGCATGAAAACATTTCAGGTGACTTTAAACCACACATGAACAAGAAATTATAATGTTTATAGTTTAACAAAGATGGATTTTATTTCATTATTTATATGCAGTTTTGTGGTAATGCATTTCAAGTAACATGTTAAGTAATCAGATTACTTTTTTCAAGTAACTAATAAAGTATCGTATTATTTTTCATACTTTCCAGAATATTTCAAGATACTTACTGTATCATTTTGTACATTCCTTAAAATAAATATAGACTCCGAAATGTGCTTTTACGCTACATACATGAATTTTTCCTTCAGTCTAAGGTTTACTCGCTTCACAATTCACTTTGGGTGTAAAAGGGCCTTACATTTATCATAAATTGAAAGTTTTTCTATAATATTACAAACAAGCAAGCACAGTCCTGAAAAAAAAAAATTAGCGCAATAGTACTGTAATGCATTATTATATTTTATCATCCCAATCAAACTCAAATAATAAATCATTTGCAAACAGAACTATTCAGTTATCTGGCAAAATTGTATTACATTTTTTAAAATTAATTAGCAAATTAATTGTCGCAATTTCATTTTGTGTGTGTGTGTGTGTGTGTGTTTGTGTGTGTGTAGGAGCAGTGCGAGTGGAGAGGGAACATGGACAGGCAGAAAAAGCTCTGCTGGTGGTCAGTACGGATGTCCAGGGTCGGGCTGTGGACCCTCAGCTGATGGCGGTGCTCCAGTGGATTGCAGCCTCTGTTGCTGATCTGTCTATGATGCAACTGAGCCAGTTTGCAGCACAGGAGGTCCAACAGGTCAGAACAGTTAGTTTTACCATAGTTATCATTTGAAAATAGCTGAAAGATTGACAGTTGACAGCCTCCTCAGGCGTTTGAAATCTTTTCTGAGGCTTTTGAGTTGTGTGTGTTGTATGTTTGCTGTGAATTTGCTGGAAGTCTGAAATGATTTATTAATTTTGATTTCTTCTTTAGTGTTGTCTGTCTTGCAAATATGAGTATATTCAAAATGGATTTAGTACCATCTTTCACTGAACAATATACAGCAGTGTTTGAGGGACTTTTTGTATTTGATGTTTTTAAAATTAGTCTCTTTTGCTCATAAATTGTGAAATATTTGTATATTTGCGATTCTGTTGTAAGATTAAAATCACAATTTCTACTTTAATATATTGTAAAATATAAGTTATTCATGTGATGCAATGCTGAATATTCAGCACCCGTCCTTTAAATGTCACTGGGTCCTTCAAAAATCATTTTTATGTGCTTATATGCATTCTAATATTTCTAATATTCTCAAAACGCATTATTACGAGTCAATTGAATTAGCAATACACTGATTTTTACCTCAGAGTTTATCAAATGCAATTTTAAAAGATCTGTTTGAGACATTGAAAGTCAGGAAATTTTCAGATTTTTGTTGGCCAAGTTATTAATTATCAGAGATTTTTTTTGTTTAAAGGTTCCATTTATTAAAATAAAATTTTTCTCTCTCTTATTTTTTGTATTGTGTTGTTTTCATGCCAATTGTTAGGGTTAGGCTACTTTTTTAGCTCAAATTTTCCTTTCATGCCCATCAACTGGCAGTTAATATGTAGAGTCTGAAGACTTCATTTGACTTGATATGCCTGAATAATAAAAAATTCATAAATAATAAATACATACTTCCAAGAAATAGTTGTTAAATCAATTCAATTCAATTCAGCTTAATTTGTATAGCGCTTTTACAATGTAGATTGTGTCAAAGCAGCTTCACATAAATGGTCATAGTAACTGGAACAGTGTAGTTCAGTTTTTAGTGTTTAAGTTCAGTTCAGTAAAGACGAAGGAAAAGTTAAATGTGAAGTTTTTAAAAGTATTGTCAAATATTGAACTGGGACCATTTCACAGTCATGCTTACAAAAGTATTCAATTCAATTCCTCTTTATTTGTATAGCGCTTTTACAATGTAGATTGTGTCAAAGCAGCTTAACATAGAAGTTCTAGTAAACTGAAACTGTGTTAGTCCAGTTTTCAGAGTTGAAGTTCAGTTCAGTGTGGTTTAATTTTCACTGTCCAAACACTAAAGAGCAAATCCATAAATGTGCTGCTCCACAAGTCCTAAGTATCTTGATTAAATTATTTTTCATTGTTGTTCCCCCAAAAATCTAAATTCTGTGATCATTTACTCATTCTTTATTTGTTTCAAACCTTTATGAGTTTCTTTCTTTTGTTAAAACACAAAAGAAGATGTTTAGAAAAATGCTGGAAACCTGTAAAGTTGTAAAGAAGTCGATGTTTGAAGGTTTTCAGGTTATTCAAAATACATTATTTTGTGATTAAACCGCAAAATTCAGTTCAAGGCACTTGGAAAATGTGGGGAAAAAATTACAAGCCTTTATTGACATGGCTATTCTTTAAAACTGCACCTACACGTTGCCTTCATCAGGTACACATTTTTCAAGTGCCTTGGACTGAATCTTGCAGTTTATTCTGATAAGTCCCTTACCCAAAGAGCACCGACACATTATATAAGCTACACCTGAGCACTTTTTCTTCGATTTTGGTATATTATTTTGTGTTCAGCAGAATAAAAAAATCTCATTAAGGTTTGGAATCACTTATGGTTAAGTAAATAGTGAGTGAACTGTCATTTTTGGAGTGAGAAATCCCTTATAATCTTAATGCCTGGCATCCGAAGCTAGAAGCGAAGAGCAAATACTTTGCGGAAACCAACTTATTTTAGTGCTTATTTTAGATAATCCTGTCATCTTGATAGCCCTGGCCCCTTGTTAAAGACCCCTAGTTTGAAAGGCATCACATTAATTCGACTATAAGTAACGTTTAATCAGTATAAATCTTGACCTTTTTCTATGTGTTTCCACAGCTGCCCGTCGTGGCTCAGAGACTGAGGGAGAGAGAGTTCAGGGTCGGTGACCTCCTGCAGGCTCTGCTCAGATACATTGAAGAGGAAGAACCAGAATCTGGAGACTCGACACACAATCACAAGAGCCTCTTCCAGTGGCTGCTAGAACATGCGTAAAAAAATCACCATCACACTGACACCCATTCAACAATGAAGTTTCCTGTCACTTTTAACAGTGATTTGCAATGTATCTGCCAAAACCTAGAGGCATAGCCAGAGGAGTGTGTTTGCGTGTTGTGTATCGCTTATGCATCCAGGGGGCGCCATAGAAACAACTGAAGTCATTTTTGAGAGCCGTTCGTTCAAGTGTGTGTATTGCATGCTGAGACCGAGAGTCCCTTTCGCTCGCTTTCGCCTCTCTCTTTTATTTAGGTTAAGACTGCATATCACACATTTCGGCGCAATCACTGATGCCTGCCTGTGTTTTCCTTTCACACCCTGCCACAGCAGATATGATGGATGGCTTTTATGAGTTGCTTTCTTGCTAGGGAATCCCCCTCGGCTGCAAGAAAAGCTTATGTCATCTCCATACCTCTCCTTTTGCGGTGTCGTTCGCACTTGTTGAAGGGACCAGCCATGCAATGAAACAACGCTCCAGGTCACCGGAAGGAATCTCATGACAAATAACTGTAAGCCGAATCAGTCAGAGGTAATTACAGCAATTACTTAATTATGTTTATAGGACTTTTTTTTGGCTGCAACACTTGGATACCAGTCATAACGGTTTAAGAATATCAGTAATTACAGAGACGCCTAAAATAGATAGTATTGAATAAATCCATCAACAGAGTCGCTTATACATTCCCCACTTGTGACTCAGACATTTTTCCAGTGGGATAACAATAAAATCTTTTAGCTTTGCACATTCACAGTGGTTTCAACTAAATAAGTATACCTGTAAATATGTTTTACTATCTATTAAATTGAATTATTGTTTACACCAAACACTGCTCCAACGCCCATAAACAGTCAATCATGCTTTAGATCACTGAAGAGATGTTTTGTTGCCAACCTACAGTATAGGAAAAACACAAACATTCTTTTAAAGCTAACGTTAAAGGCTGCTAAATACGTAAATCCCCTTTGCCAAAAGAGAAAAGTAGCAGTAAGCTGCTTTAAAACAGAATTACACACAATCCACAGGGGAATTTTCAGTTTTTTTTTATTTCCTCCTGGCATTGTCTACTCATGGAGGTTACTGTGACACACTAGTAATGCACTACTAAATGACGACACTTTTGCAGCGAGTATAACTGTAACTAGTAGACTATTTTACTCACTGCCCGCCCTTTAGTGTGCGCTACTCTGAATATTGCACTTTAGCAAGGAATGGTCAGGCAAGCCATTCCCTATATCTTTATTTTGACCTCACAAAATGCTTCTCATTGCAATCCATAAAGGATAGAATCGCAGACAGCTAGTGTTTGACCCCTATGGTCAGAACAAGTATTCCCCATGCTATTTTGGGCTTAAATGAAAAGGTGTCACTTTTATTTTGCTCTCATGTCAATCTAAATGTGCGTGTTGGTTTTATTTGGGAACAGATTTTAAATAGGTTTGTTTATCAAACTTGAAGTGTTCTAATCCACATTGTAGTCTAAAAATATAAAGGGTTTTGCATCATGTTTGATTATTACAGCACAACTATTATATTTATTGAAGGCAGGCGGATTTTGAAGGTTTGGATGAAGATAAATGTACTATGTAGATGCAGAAGTTGTCGAAAAAAAGCGCACAAGTTTCTTTTCAGTCAGAGTGAACTGACTTTGTATAGTATTGAGAGTCTTTCTTCTCGTTCATTCAAGTAAAACAAATGCATACTAATTTAGAACACCGAGAGCGATTTAAATTTGACTTGAAAGAATCATGAGGGTTTTTTTATTATGCTTCTTACAGTAGTTTTTCTTGATAAGTTACTGTTTTCGTGTGATTTGATTGTGAGATAAACATAATGCAGGCTATCGCGGTTGTGAAGATTGTTATATCTTGTGGATTCTTTCATGTTTATTGCCATGTAACACGCATGATGCGCTTTCAGTCCAGTTCATGTACTTCTCTTTACTTGTGCATGGATGTATTCTTAAACGCTGATGCATGGCTTAAATCCAGTCGACAATTAATTGCTACAATGGTAAAAAACAAACAAACAGACATTTCTATATTCATGCTGTTATGTATACTCAGCGCTGCCAAATGTTTGGATCTGTACTTTCAAAGTATTTGTTTACATTCTTTTGAAATGTTTTTTTTTTTTTTTTTTTTTTAAAGAACCTGCCATGCACTGTGTTAAGTTGGACATTTCAATATGATAGCAGTATCATATAAACCATAATGTGGGAAAAGCAAAGACAGTAAAATGTATACATTAAAGAAACACTTCTCTTTATTTTGGTAAATCGACTCGTTTTACAATTCCCCTAGAGGTAAAAGTTGAGTTTTATATTTATTTATCCATTTAGTGGTTTAGCTTAGCATAATTCATTAACTCGGATTAGACCATTAGCATATTGCTCAATTAAAATAAAGTCACAATGAGAGCGTGAATCGAAAAATAGCTACGTTTCATCATCCATCAGTCTCAGTACACAATGTAAGACAAAAGACTCAAAGTTTTTGAATTTCTTTGAGTGAGATGCTAATGGTCTATTCCGATTTAATGATTTATGCTAAGCTAAGCTAAAAGTGCTAAAAGAGATTTTCTGAGCGGATTTAAAAATGCTAATATTTAACTCTAGGTGACTTGTAAAATGAGCCAATTTTCTCGAAATAAGTGGAATGTTCCTTAGAACTTGAGTAAATTTGAAAAAGAGTTGGCACAAGCTCGCCGTGACCATCAGCGCTGCCTCATTTATAGTGGGATTGTAAATGCATCTGTGCTTTTGCAGTAATTGTAAGCATTAATGCTGTAGATGTTCTACCCTTGTGCTTTCATCCACCTTACCTTTCTGTACATTCCTATCTTTCACAGATGATCTATTGCTATATTGTGTTAAGTAAAGCTACATGTATAATGCCGAGTACACGCCGTACTAAACAGATGAATATTTTGTTACTTGTGCAGTATTCCTCCATCCAGTCTTGTAGCGTAGTGGGCAAACTGATGCACACTGACTTGTCTATTTTCTTCCTGCCCATTTGTATAATCTTGCCAAATAAGATATTTAATAATTTATGTAAGTATAAGTTGTAACGGTGAATACACTACTTGTTCCCCACCAGTGAAGTTGCTAAGTAGTTTACACATAAAAGCTTAATGCACTACACCTGTACACTGTAAAAAGCTGTGGGTAATAAAGCTTTTTCATTTGAACCAGGAGCTGTTTATTTACTCCGTTTACCAGGAATCTTAATTTTTCTCGAAATAAGAGATTGTGTACTGTTATAACTGAAGCTTTTAAGACTATGAGGAAACACGTATTTGCTCCTAAACAGTATGAGTTACACCTTCCGCAAGCTTTGCATGCCAGACCTTTACATTTAAAGGGAGAGTTCACTCAAAAATTAACATAATATTCACTTATGTGGTTTCAAACGTTTGAAAAAGAAGATAATTTGAGGAAAGCTGAAAACTGATAACAGTTGACACCCATAGTTGGAAAAACAAAAACTATTAGAGTGAGTGTATGCCTTTTTTCCCGCGCTCCACTCTCGCGTTTGTCCTTTTCTTTCTGAATGTGTCACTCTCGTTTGTTAGCTTCTCACAGGATCGGGTTTCCAAAGCTTGTCAATAATCAAGTGCATGTTATTGTTATCAGCTCAAGAAGTTTGTTATTTCAGATAGAGACGTGCGGCGAGCGCAAGCAAGAAAGCGAAACCACTCGGGCTTCAGACTGGCTCGTTAAAAACTATGTGGAACAGGGTGAATCTGCTCTTCTCCATGGCTTTGTGGCTGTTTATCATGACGACGACAAGGTTTGTTTGCAGGATGGCTGCATATGTATTTATAATTCCGCTGTAATCTCTCGCTGTGTATTTCAAACATGGCGGGTCCTTTGTTTACATTCTGGCTTGTTGAGTCTACGAATGACGTATCTCTGTAAACCAATAGCGTTCAGCTGCGCGTGTAGCTCCACCTTTTGGGACCCTTTCTGCCATTTGGGACCCTTTCGAAAGGGTCCCGAAAAAGTGGTACGGTACGATTTGGTTCAGTACGCCTTTTGACAGTGGAAATGGCCATAAAAGCGTACCAAACCGAACCGTACCACTCAGTGGAAACGGGCCATAAAGGTGCTCTAGCGACAGACGCTAGAGGGCATGGTCTTTAGACTCCCTGTTAGAGCAACCGAGTCCTATACAGAGAATCAGCGGTTCAGACCAGGTAGGGTGCAGTAGGACCGGCGGGTTACATGTGGGGACTTGTCTGGAATGGAGGTGAGTGTAACGGAAGCCAACTAGCGAAGTGCTATGCAGGTAAACCTCACTCCTCTGACTCTTAAAGGAGCTCTAGCGACAGACGATAGAGGCCATGGTCTTTAGCCTCCATGTTAGAGCAAATGACTCCCATGCAAAGAATCACCAATTCAAATCCCAGATCAGAATGGGTGCAGTAAGACCGGTGGGTTACATATATATATATATATATATATATATATATATATATATATATATATATATATATATATATATATATATATATATATATATATATATAAAAGAAGAAGAAAAAACAGGTTTGTGACAAGTCAAGTGTGAGCAAAAGAGAGAATGTACATATTTAATGTTCATCTCTTCAAGAACCATATACTTAATGGACTGTATGTACATTCCTGCTTTTCTAGGAATCTTTCTGTTTGAATACACTGCAAAGCAACAGAGATTATCTCTTAGGCTACATGCGGAAGTGATTGTACATTGTGACGATTTTCCGCATTCCACTCCATCTGTTGCACATTTGAGCATGCATTTATTTTATATTATACTTCTTTGACCTTGAGGGAAGATGGATGTGTTCAGCATGTGCACATTACCGAGTGAACTTTTATTTTTAAGCACTTAATCACTCACACATGCATTGTGTGCAGACTGAAAATATCGTGAGTTATTGTAAAGTCAAGCCAGTCTGTCTGGGCGACTGTAAGTAGTACAAAGCACAATTGTTGTGCAGTTAACATACAGTACTTTGAGATACTAAGAATCAACTGCAGTGCAAAAAAATAAAAAACAATGAGAGGGAAGCAATGTCTGTCAAACCAGTATTTTGTAGGAATTCATATGATTTCATTTATATAAACGTATACAGGCATGTCCCCAAACTACACCCATAACTTTAGCCCTCATTGATGGGAGGAGCAAATCATTAAAATTTATTAATGGGATACAAATAAAACCATTAAATTAAAAAGTTACAAACTCTCGCATTGATGTTTAAATTGCAATGAAAAGATCAGAATTGAAGTCGGAATGAATTCAAAATTTACTCTTATTTTTATATCTATATTGTGCTTGTATTGTGATCAACAATGTATCTGTGCTCTTTATTATTCTGTAGCAATGTGTTTGCCCTCATAATCATTTGGTAAATACCATGACCTTCAATCCCCCTCAAAACAACTTTTCTTCACATCTGGTCACAGGGGCTATCAGGGCATGTCTCATTTCTGTCCTGCTCTTGTCCATTTGTCAATCCTCTTTTATCGAGCAACACTCTTTTTTTTTCAATGATCCAAACAATTACCAAAGGACAAAATTATGCACCGTCCTTCATTTCAGGACCGATTTAACTGGATGTATGTCTCAATATTGGAAAAGAAGATAATCTTAACTTACATTTGATGGCGACTTTAAAGTGTTACTGTAAGTAACCAACAAAGTTAATTATGTTATGTTAAATAATTCTGGAACACAAATGAAGATATTTCTGATTAAATCTGAGAGCTCTCTCATCCTCCATAAACTGAAATGGTCCCGAGACATTCAAAGCAACCACAAACATTGTCCAAAAATTCCATAGTGCAACTCTATTCATACAAAGCTCCAATATCAATTTTGTTAGACAAAAATATCCATATAAATATGACTTTGTTCACCTGTATCTTCTCTCAGGTCAGTATACGCTCACAGGCCATTTTATTAGGTACACCTGTCCAACTGCTTATTAATTAATTGCAAATTTCTAATCAGCCAACCCAATACATTTTGGCTTATAGACGTGGTCAAGAGGATCTGCTGCAGTTTAAATCAAGGATCAGAACGGGGAAGAAAGGTGATTTAAGTGACTTTGAACGTGGCATAGTTGTCCGTGCCAGACAGGCTAGTCTGAGTATTTCAGAAACTGCTGATCTACTGTAATTTTCACACACAACCATCTCTAGGGTTTACAGAGAATGGTCTGAAAAATAGAAAATATCCAGTGAGCAACAGTTCTGTGGGCGCAAATGCCTTGTTGATGCCAGAGGTCAGAGGAGAATGGCTAGACAGGTCGAGCTAATAGAAAGGCAACAGTAACTCGTTACACTCGAGGTATGGAGAAGAGCACTTCTGAATGTTCAACTCTGAGGCGGATGGGCTACAGCAGCAGAAGACCACACAGGCTGCCACTCTTGTCAGCTAAGAACAGGAAGCTGAGGCTACAAATCACACAGGCTCACCAAAATTGGACAATAGAAGAATGGAAAAACAACCACAGTGTATCTTCTGATGGCTTCTTCCTGCAGGATAACAGGCCATGTCATAAAGCGTGAGTCATCTCAGAGTGGTTTCTTGAACATGATAATGAGTTCACTGTACTCAAGTGGCCTCCACAGTTACCAGAATTAATCCAATAGAGCACCTTTGGGATGTGGTGGAACGAGAGATTTGCATCATGGATGTGCAGCTGACAAGTCTGAAGCAACTGTGTGATGCTTTCACGTCAATTTGGACCAAAATCTCTGAGGAATTTTCCGGTACCTTGTTGAATCTACGCCACAAAGGATTAAGGCAGATCTGAAGGCAAAAGGGCTCCAACTCTGTACTAGTGAGGTGTACCTAATAAAGTGGCTTGTGAATGTAATGTATTGCGATTAAAAGACTTTGAGTGCAACACACACACACACATGCATACATACACACACACACACACATATATATATATATATATATATATATATATATATATATATACATACATATATATATATATATATATATATATATATATATGTATATATATATATATATATATACATACATACATACATATATATATATATATATATATATATATATATATATATATATATATATACATACATACATACATATATATATACATACATATATACATATATATATACATACATATATACATATATATATATATATATATAAACATACATACATACATACATACATACATACTGTACATACACACACATATATATATATATATATATATATATATATATATATATATATATATATATATATATATATATATATCAACGGTTTAGTATGTTATATATAACATTATGGTAATAATACCCTTAACTTCTGAATTTGATTGTAATGCAATAATGTGCACCTTTTGTAAAGCTGCTTATAGCAATAAGTGTGGTTTATTCATAAACTAATTTCGAGAGGATCACGTGCTTATAATCAACACGGCTGGCACCTTGTTAGCTCCGTAATCAGCCCTATTAGATGATTACGGAAGCATTATAAATAACCTGAGTTTTCCACTCCAGTTATCTTCGTCTTGAAGCTCCCCCCCTTTCCACCCCTACATCCTCCCACTTTTTCTGATCGGAGCGACACGGTGGCCCAGTGGCTAGCACTGTTGCCTCACAGCAAGAACACCGCTAGTCCAACCCATCGGGCTGGTTGGTGTTTCTGTGTGGAGTTTGCATGTTCTCCCCGTGTTCGCGTGGGTTTTCCCCGGGTTCCCCGGTTTCCTCCCACTGTCCAAAAACATAAACCATAGCCAATCGACTAAAACAAATTGAGTTTAAACTGAGTTTACACTTCTCACGGTGACAAGCAGGGGAGTTCTCGAGACCTACCTGACCTCGAATTCCCCTCTCGCCCTTCTAACGGGAGGGAGCCCCGGGCTCGAGGATATTACGAGCTCAGGGCTCTCTCCCGGGACAGCATGCCAAATACGCTTTATTGATTATCAGCTAAGTGTGAACTCTTGAATTATTGTAAAAAGTGCTATACAAATAAACTTGAATTGAATTAACATCTGCAGTGCAACACAATAATCATATTGCCTGTAGTAAATGCGCACCCTGATCTAATGTGGAAGGCATAGTGGCACAAAGTTGTGTTTGTACAGTTTTTTTTTTTTTTTTGCCACATGAAAGTGTTCTTGAAGCTTGAAACTGAGGCACA